GTAACAAACAGAAAAAAAAAAGCAAAAACCCTATTTAGATAGAAACTTGGAGACAAATTGACTAAATTTTTTGATTTTTGAAAAGAAACATCACAGTTTTTACCAATCAAGAGCTGAGAATTTTATCATAACAGCAAAGGAAATTTTGTAAAACAAGAAACTATTATTGACAAGAATTCTTCTCAAAACCTGGACAATTTTTCCTTAAAAAATGTCCCCATGGCCTCCTCATATTTACTCGTTCCAACTCTCCAAGCTACACCAAACGGTTTCAATCTCATCAAGCAATGCTCAGATAAATAAATAATAACCAGGATCCCTCCAGCAATAATTGCTTGTCAGTTTGTTGTCGACAGACTCCAGCCTATCACACCTTAAACCGCCAATAAAAAAAGGAATAAAAAATTTACAGAAATAACATGCCTGCCAGAACCTCAATCACTCACTAATAACACGCACTTGAATTGGTTTACTCTAGTTCTGAACACAACTAAGAAACTGACAACATTTATAAACAACTGATCATTTACTGAGCGCTACTTGATTCTCATCATAAGCTTATCGGCAGTTTGGCATATTGCAGCTTGCACTAATGGCTTGAAATGACCCTTACAGTAATCCTACGAAATCCACAAGAGTGCGGTTATTTCTGCATTTTAAACACCACAGTTCAATGCAGTTGCACTCTGAAAGGAAGAAGCAATTTTGAAATTTTTTGATGAATGTCGATTGCTGAAACTTATTGCTCAAGTCGAGTCCGTGGTATGGCTGTGGGTGACAAAGCCAACGTCCTGTTATCGTTCAATGATATTATAATATACATAGTGGCTATTTTTACAGAAGCCACAACATGTTTACAAATATGGAACTGCAACATAAATTGCAAAGCTAGTTTTTAATTCCTAAAACGCTTCAGTAGCTGTGCACTTTTAGTGCCAAAGTAGTCCGAAAATTTGGGACTCTCCATACTAGATATACTGTGTATGAGAGTCCCAAACTTAAGGTACTGAAAACATGCAATACAAGAAAATAGACTGGCACCTGAAACAACCAGTCCAACACAGCTTCAGTACTGCATCAATCAAATGTGCCAAAAGAATTTAAGATACATGCGGCATGAATCGGGAACTAGTCTCTTTACTACATATTTCGCCATAGTCAGCCACCAGACTAATGACACTGAATGAAGAGGTCAGTCTTTTCAAACAGTTGGACCATGGTTCAACATGTACCAGTCTAGTCTTTAGCCTCATTTTGAAATCACTTGACTTTGCCTCTCACGTGCAAAATATTGAAGGAATGTCTCCTTTAAAAATTGAATTGAGTCTGCAAACGTGGTTGGTGAAATAAGTACCTTTTCTTTGCCCAGTGAAACTAGGTGAAGTTTGCTGGCTAAAGAGTGAGTAAATTTGGCCTGATTTAGTTTTGCACATTGCATGTTTGCAAGTTTCTTTTGGCACAGTTGATTGATACAGAAGGGTTGTTGGACTGGTTGTTTCAGGTGCCACTGCCAGTCTATTTTCTTGTATTGCATGTTTTCACTACACAGTTTTGGGACTCTCTTACTAACATGTTTTCAATACCAAGTAACAAAAATGTATAGAAAATTATCCCCAAACCAGTCTTATGTCTTAAGTCTTAAAACTTTTAGTTTAAAATGTATTAATTGTAAAAGGAAAGAAACGAAAACCCCGCAAGCCCACCTGGTTTCTTCTACAACTTGTGCTTCGGCACGGTAGAGGGCGCTATGAAGACTACATGATCGATCTCGACTGCATGCCACAGAGGGCGCTATAACAAGACCACAGTCACAAACGAACGTGGATGTCTTAATAGAGTTGTCTGCGATTTGGGGGACAACTTCACAAAACGAAAAATTCACTCAAGGGTATTTATTAATTGGCCACCAAAATGGGGGAGAAACCCGAACGTACAAAGCAATAATATTAATTATGCTAATATTGGTGAAAATTTCCTCTTTTTTGAAGTGAAAATGGTGAATATTGTCAGCAATTGAAAGATAAAACATGGTATCCCCAATTGACTGCAAATGGGAGCTATTAAGACGTCTTTGTCATTGTTAAGAAACCTTATGTTCACTAAACTTAATTTACAACTTAATAGATGTCCGTCTCGAGCTACAAAGATTAGATTTTCTGTTGGATCCACAGATGATTATAAACAAAATACCAAGAGTTTCAAAAATATAAATCAGATGGCAAGAAAACAACCCCAAAAAACTCAAAGAAAAAACAAACACAAACGAAAACAACCAAAAAACAACGTAACTTCAAAGCAATGGACTCTTTATTATTCACAACTGAAAAAATAACTCGCATAATGAGGTAAACATCCTGAAACTCAAAATGCTGGAGTTTCAGGAACGAAATCTAACAATATGTCCAAAATAATGGTCGAATTTCTTACTTGGCATCACAGGAAATTTTAAGATTTAGATGTAAACAAAAGTGTAGTAATTTGTGGATAGTCCTGACATACTGCAAGACATTTAAAAAAAATTCTTTGACAATTTTTGTGAAAGACTTATTTGATGGTTATGGAAACGATGATTGAATGAAACACAGAACAGAATACGAGAAATATGCTATTTGAGTTTGCAAAAAAAAAAGAGTTCAGATATAAGGCACAACGATTCTAGAAAAACAAATACTTGTACTTTTTGTGATGCTGTGGGATGGGTTTCCCTTAGAACCATGTGATCCATTTCTTTGGGATTACAAAACCAACATCAAGGATTGGTTTTGAAAGACAATGATATGCAAGTTTTGTCTTTGGCAATATATAGTACTTATTATTTAGTTGCCACGGTAACATCACTAACTAACCTGGCTGCTTCATTCCCGGATCGGGGAAAATCTGTTTAGTTGGATTTTATTCAAAGGTCACGAGTGAAGTTAAAATTTGGTCGGATAAATTTACCTTTTCATATTTTCAAATAAGACAAAAGAATTTAATTAATCACTTTGGATCAAACATGATTCTTCAGAAATCGAGCTTAAATTTGGTAGAAAATATATCAAAATTAATTTGATCCAAGTTTTGCTTAATTAAATAATGATCTCAAATTTTTGACAACTGATCACCACAATACCTGATCGCGGTTAAATTCTCCTAAGGTGTCACTAATTTAAATACAATCATATAGTACAGGTTAAACATTTAAAGGATACAGTGAGAATTTCAAGAGCATCTAACTATGAAAGCTAACACTAACACGATACAACTTACATTTCTACTTACGTGCAACTAAACATAATTTTTTGGGTGATAAATATACAAGGATGCTTTTTAGGTATTTATTACTCATTTTTTTTAAGTGAACATGATTTTCATTATTTTGAGCTTCAACAATGAAGTGGCTGTTTTGTTGCAACAAAAAGTGGATGTTTTGTTAGTGAATTACATCCATCTTCAACAGCAGCCAAAATGATCTTCGGCGTAAGTAAATAAAATAAAGTTAACTCCAAGAAACAGCAGTTTTTGTTGAGCAACAACAAAGTACATAGCACAAAATGTTTTCTGCTGGCAAATCTAACCATAAACCTCAAACTACGTAAATTGTAGAACTCCTTATTTATACTATGTACAAAAGTAGCAATAATGCAATATGTAAACAATAGGAATACATAACGCTGAGTTGTTCTTCACTTAACCTTATCATCATGATTTTTCTCTTTAAAATAAAAAGAAAAGGGATATGAAAACCAGAGCAAACCAACAAATCATCCAATTTGCTTATCATCATGATTTTTCTCTTTAAAATAAAACAAAATAGTTCCATTGTTATTTGTTGATTTGTAATCACAGTTATTCCCCCATGATTTTTTACTTAAAACGTTTTTAGAATAGGTAGTGAAAATAAGAAATTAAATCTTTAAATTAAAAAAAAAAGTAAGTTTGATCAATGGTCTTTTGGTTCTGTTTGGTCTGAACCCATTAATTCCATTTTTAAGCTGCTTTTTTTTTTAAGATTTACTTTCTTAGTCTGCTTTTTGCAAATCTCACAAAAACCTGATATGTTATTTTGTGCAGATTCAATATTACTTGCAGCTTTTTCACTTTGTTTTTCATATTTTAGCTTAGAGTGAAAAATTATTCATATGTGCGGTGTTCAACATATGCCTTGATTTAAAAAACTACAAAAACATAACTTTACAAAATCTCAATGTTTTGAAAAGACTTTTAAAAAATGGGTAAAAAATAGTACATCATAAAATAAAAAAAATCAAGCATTTGCAGCTTTTGATCCAAATAATAAGAAAGTCAGCCTTTTGTTACAATAAAACACGATAAATGTACACTGATTCTAGTGACAAGCCACACACCTAAAAAATATATCTGTACAGGTACAAAATGAAGCATCTTTGCAAGTATCTTGTGGAATCAAAACTCTCCAACGCAGTCATTTTGATTTCAAACACATGAATACGCAAGCTGTTAAAAAAAATGAACATGTAAACTTGAACATTCTTGCAAATAAACGGAAAAACTCTTCTACATATAAATGCGCAGCATGTGGCAAAATAAAATTTAAAAAAATTAAAAACCCAGAAAACTATTAAAAACGACATTCAGTTACCTTTAACCCTAACTGCCCTGAATCCTTCGAAATCCTCTTTGCAAATTGGAGGAATTTGCAGGATTGAGGTTACATGGCAAAAATACGTTGCTGATTTCGGATGACGCACTATGTCAAGGTCTTGGGCCGGACCTTGTGTTGTTTATGTATAATTAGTCCTTGATTATGCTTGAAATCCTCTGCACTGCTCCAGGATGTCACTGGCCAAGCCTCAACATATTGACAGTCACTGCCGCAGGATTTTGCAGGATTGAGGCAGTGGTCATCCCTCCAAGAACCACATTCAAGAAATAATGGAGGATTGCGCAGGATTGAGGCTATACGTTATTTTTCCATGAGGCCAATTGGAGGATTTTGCAGGATTCAGATTACATTTTACCAAAAATGCCTAGGGAGTTAGGGTTAAAAAAGAAATACCCCCCCCCCCATTTAAAATAGTTAATTGCAGACATTGATGAATGAATTACACTCTTTCCAGCTTTCAAGTTAGACAAGCAGCTTTGAGAACTAATTTAAAGTTTCCTCCTCAAATTATGTTGCATCAACCAGCAACAATTTGTGTGTTTGAAACAAGTAACTCTGGATATTCTTTGCATATTCTTTAAAGGCATCACAGAAGGCCACTCATTCTTATATATTATCTGAAATAAATCATGCCCAATGGATTCCTGAAACATAAATATGCTTTTAAACAAAGAACACAAATGAAAATATACATTTGTTCACTTGTGAAATATATCTTCCGGTTTTAAAAATACTATACTGTAGGCACAAATAAGCATCCTTACCTGACGATTTCTCAAGATTGTTTCAATCAGCATAAAGAACAGCAAAAAAATGCTTTATATGATCACCTTTTTTGCTGTTCTTTTGCACCTGATTTTTAACAGTTTACTTACAATATTAAATTAAACTGGAGCAGTTTTATCACTTGATTGGCCACAGATTAAAAGAACAAGACAGAAATTTGATGAACTTATCGTCAATTACAGCAATCAAATGGGCTGTACTTTGTAACAGAAATCACGATGGATAGACGACAATTCAAAAATAGACTGGACTTCAGACAAATGACTTAAAAGTCAAAGGCAGTGTTGTAGTCGAGTCAATCACAAATCCTTTCTCAAATCCAGTCGCAAGTGAAAGGGCTGGACATGTGGTTGACTTTAGTGAGGACATGTGGTTGACTCGACTACATCACTGGTCAAAGTAGAGACTCACTGAGCTGATTTGTACAGAAATATTGCTATCTCAAACAGTTTATAGCAAAGCTAGCACTTCTCTTATTAATGTTCCGCTCAGCGAATAACAAAAACATGATTGAAAAAAAAAAATCGGCCAAACTGCTCCCTCACATGGGCGCTAGGAGCCAATTTCACAGGGCGGCTGAGCTGAAAATTACTAAGCATCAAATATTTGCTTACCAAAGGTTACCAGCAAATACGTGTCTTGTATATCACCTGTGACCGGCACTTCGCTGATTTTTACTTAGTAATATTTTCGGCTTGACAGTGCTGTGAAATTGGGCCCTGATCAATTCCTTGCACACTTTATAACAAGCTTTTGTGACCATTTATCACAATTCTTCTATAAAACAAGTTACTAACAGTTAAGATATCCTTTTAGTGGTGAATTGCTCAGAATTCACTGAATACAAGCTTTGAGTGGTCCCCTTTAAGGTTTAAAACCACATAACATACAGTCTTCAGAATACACCGTGTTTCCATAATTCAGGAGAAATCCAACTAAGTTAAAAGCAGACAATGCTTCGTTTCACATCTCGTGTTGCAACCGAATGTTTTTTTTCAAGGTCCAATTATCTTCAACTCAAGATGGACAGACACAACTTGAGACGTCACACTGTTGAGTTACGATTGGAGATCTCGCTGAAATGGTGAGACACAACACAGCACTACATTTAAGTCTATTTACATGGCAGTAGGGTTCCACTGTGAAAACCATTTCTCATTCAATGAGCTCTCTTGAGCTCAGAGCTCTCACCTGTTTTCATCCAGACACTCCAATATCATTCTTGCTGCAATGTTCTTTTACAGTCACTTTCTGTTCTCACTACAGAAACATATTTCAGCCTTTGTCAGAAGTCCGACGTCTTGAGCAGATCTCACAGAGATCAAGTCGCTCACAGACACAGGCAGGGCTAGTGAGTTCTCAGTTCTGCTCTCAGAGAAGGTTCAAATTGTCGACTTTTAGCAAGAGAAATTATCCATCAGGTCTAGTCTGGTTTTCACAGCTTTCATCACTTTTGTAGCATTCAATATTAGAGCACCAAACAGCGAATTGAATGTTTTGCCAAGACACTCTTTATCAAGAGGAAAGGCGTGTCTCAAAGACACTAGAAGGTTCACTAGGAAAGACCACAATTTCCATTTTTTTCCCTCCAAAACAGCTCATCTTGTTGGTTGGAGCAGTAGATGTTTACTACGGTGTTTAAAGAAGGTGGGATTCCATTTACACAACTGCTCTCAGAGCAGGTTCAAATTGTCGATTTTTAGGACGAGAAATTATCCATCGGGTCAAGTCCGGTTTTCACAGCTTTCATCACTTTTGTAGCATTCAATATTAGAGCACCAAACAGCGAATTGAATGTTTTGCCAAGACACTCTTTATCAAGAGGAAGGCGTGTCTCAAAGACACTAGAAGGTTCACTAGGAAAGACCACAATTTCCAATTTTTTTTTTCCAGAACAGCTCATCTCGTTGGTTGGAGCAGTAGATGTTTACTACGGTGTTTAAAGAAGGTGGGATTCCGTTTACACAAGGTGGTCTCAGACGGAATCTTCACCGTCATGCTACGGCCAGGACATTACAAGCACTAGAGGGAGGTCTTTCACTAGAATGCGTTGATCCAAGTCGATCAAACAGTGGACTCACTACTGTGCCGACTGTGTTGGCTTGAGTTACCCGAGTCAAACTCAACATCCACGAAGGTTGTCACTGGGGCGTCACCGAGGGCTTCAAGATCAAGGTAATCCTAAGGATGGGGTGGAGATTAAGAAAAAGAAAGATTAAGAAATGCAGGAATATCAATTCTTTAACATGTGACATGATACTTGACTTTACTGACTGTGTTCTAGATTCAAGCAAAAACAGATATTCTGAAGATTTGAATCAAGCATATAAAGAGTTGAAAGTTTAAAACAACAACCGTAGTATAGGCGGGCACAGACATCCGGGAATTTTTTTTACATTTGCTTATCTAGTTCCCAGACCCATTTTCTTGAAACTCAATGGTTCTTGAGTCTGGAGTGCTGAATGGTAACACATAGAAACCGGTGAAAACTGGTGTGCAAATGAATAGATGTTATCATTGGATGACGCAATCCCGCCCACGCCTATATTAAAGGTTATATTCAAGAGGGTGAGCTTCTGAAACTTGTTTCCAAAGGGATAATCAACGGGCCTCCAATGAAGGCCCCCTGATAGTATTTTCAGCCCCCATCTTGAACAGAAAGGGTTAAGCCTAACCTTCCGGGATCCTTGGGGAGGACTTTGAATGATTGCTTTACAACCAAACTACGACTACCATTCCCTGAACATCTTGAAAGTTGAAACTGAGCTTCTTAAAGATTCCGGAAGGAATCATCAACAAAAACAGCTAAAAATTGCCAGGGGAATTAGAGTTTTTGATGATCAAGTTTCTTACTTGAGTGGACGCGAGGGAGATAATCCTGGCCAGGTCTTCGACCAGATCAAAGAACGTCGGTCGAAGTCCTGGTGATGTGTGCCAACATTCCCTCATGATGTGATAGCTGGAGAAAGACAAGATCCAACATGTCAAGAACTGATTATTAGACATTGGTCAAGAGATCAGTGTGGACTGACAATTCAAATGAACTTGCAATTTGCATTTTCTGATTGGATATAATAAAATGTCTCTTCTTTCAGCTGATAAAGAAGACAAACACTACTCACATCTCCAAGGAGCAATTCTGAGGTTGCTCAAGACGTTTTCCCATCTTCAGATAATCAAACATCTTTTCAACCGGAACACTGGGATACGGGGTGCCGCCCAAAGTGATGATCTCCCACAGTAGGATACCGAAGGACCAGACGTCGCTTTGAGTAGTGAAGACACGGTCAAACAAGGCTTCCGGTGCCATCCACTTGACTGGTAAACGGCCCTGTGGGTACCAGTGATAATATTATCGTTTCAGCATATATACAAGAAACAGACGTTCACTGCATGCAGTAAGGAAGAACTTTGCTTTTAATAACAAACATCCAAATGAACATCTTGTGCACTTACATCAGTAGTCTTCTTGTAAAAATCGATGTAATGGACATCTCTAGCGAGGCCGAAGTCAGCTATCTTCATGATGTAGTTTTCAGTGACCAGGACGTTACGGGCAGCCAAGTCACGATGGATAGCCTACAAAGTCAGGAATACCATTTAGTCTGTTAATGAACAAGTCATGCCATGGTCATACATAGATTGTATTATTCTATACAATATAGGATTGGGGGTGTGGATGAGCGGTGGGGATGGGGTCAAGGGGTTTGGGACGGGGTCAAGGGGTTTGGGACGGGGGCGAGGGGTGGGAATGGGGGTAGGGTGAGGGGTGAGGACGAGTAGGGCAATGTGTAGGGTTAGGGGTGGGATGGAGGGGGGGGGGGTTAGGATCACGATGTGGTTAGGATGAGTGAAGGGTGGGTCACGTACCTTCTTGGATGCTAGGAATTCCATCCCACGAGCCACCTGGTAAGCCATGGAGATCAGATCCTTGTTGGTCAGTTGCTCACGGTCTGGCAACATGACGGTCATCTCATTGTTATCTGGTGGTCGACGAAGACGGAGGAAATCACGTAGGTTGCCATGGTGAGCGTACTCAACGATGACAAACAGAGGACCTACAAGGAGCAAAAGAGGTCAATTCATCAATGGATGCAACTCAGCGATGTCTTAAATCCAAACGAGAAACAAGAATAACCTGATGTAGAAGCGGGTACATCACTGGAACTCAACTTTAGCAATTTCAAACTACAACTTTAGGAGTTAAAGGGATTGAACTCACCATCTTGAGTTGAGCATCCGAGCAGATTGATGATATTTGTGTGTTTACCAATCATCTTCATCATCTCAAGCTCTGACACAAGGTCAGATAACTCACGGTCTGTAGCATTCCCTGAAAATTACATGTGTCAAATACAAGAAACACTGTCATTCGTTTCTGATTGTATTGTCAAATTTAAGGAAATGACTCGGAATAACAACAGAGATTTGGAGAACCTCAAATATTTCTAGGAATACCGGATATTACTTATCCTAAATTTCCTAGATCCTTCAAATTCCACCAGAGGGTTTTGCCTGACCTCAGAAGTTAGTTCCCATCATTATTATATCACAAGGGATTTTTATGGCCCTTCAAAGTTCAAGTACAAAGACTATGCCACAGCATCCTCCACTGTTTATTTTGGAGGAATCAGCATAAGGTCCTGACAGAAATGTCTAAGGAGCCAAGGTCAATTCGAGACCTACCTTTAAGCATCTTGACAGCCACCATTGTTGTCTGTTCCTTGTTGCTGATACCCACAGCCTCAGCTAGCACCACCTTGCCAAATGCGCCCTCACCCAGAGCCTTACCCAGGGTTAACCTGCAAGAAACGATGATGGGTGTTATTGCCAGTGATTTCTGGAGCCTGAATTTGTTCCATTGTCTCCGGTCAGCACAAGCTAGAACAGTGAACTGCACCAAGTAGACTACTAAATACAAGAGTACGGTGCAGAGTAAACACTACCCGAGGCTCACATTCAGATTTTCATCTGAACGTGTACAAACCATTAGCATCTTCACAGAGTAACACAGCTTTGCCCCCCTCCCCTCCGCCCTCTCCTACCCAAGCCTAGGCACACATCAGCAATGGTGCTCAAGTCTTTCTCTCTAGTTTCGTCTTCGATGGGGTCAAGAGACCAATCAAGATGCCCGAAAACTGTGCACATGGGCAACACCACGTGCGCCTCTCCTATACAAAGCTGCATGTCCAGCTGCCCACACCATGCGCACCTGCAAGGATGTTAATCATGGCCGATGGGCCAAAATACTAGTGGGCATGGCTTAATGGGTGGGTCTACTGAATACAATTCAGCAATCAAGAAACGGATAACTAACCTGTCACGTGGGAATTCCCATTCTGGATCCAACGGAACCTCATACTCCGACACCACAGTGAGGGACGAGGATAAACGTGAGCGTCCGATGACCAAAGGAGCTGTAGAGTGACCCGACTCTGTCGACAGCTGTCAAACAAGCACACAGTCACAAAATGTCATTACTTCGTTATGTAGAATTCTCGTGGCAATTCAGAGCAAGAAAAATAAAACCAACAATACAACAGTTCACCTTCGGCACTCATGTAAATGTGCAAACAAAGTCATTTAACTCATGTCAAGACATGAACAAGGCTAGGGTTGCCTTGTCCAACTGTAGCAGGAAGTCTTGGCTTAGAACATATCCAGCTTAGGGTGTGGGGGGGGGGGCTGTCAGGGGATGTAAGCTGACATGCGCTACTTTCTTTCTGCCTGATTTTCCTAAATTTTTTGGGGCAGGGGAGGGGGAGGGGGGCTGGGATGGTTAGATCCCCTCCCCACCCACGATATATCCACCACTAGTCAATCAATTAGTCAGTGATTCAGGAGTCGGAGGACAAATAGCTGTGCCATATGGAGTTATGAGCAACCCTGGTCGGACGTACCTGCCGTATGAGTTGAGTCTTGTTCACAACCCTCATGGGACTCCTGGTGTGTCGCTGGTTGCTCTTGTAACACATGATGAAGATGAAGAAGAAGAGGATCAGGATAATGAAACTACAGACGATGGCTACCACCATGACGGTCTTCTGTTGGTCCCAATGACCCGGCCGAACTATCGCGACGACTGGAGCCGAGGTAGGTGGTGGATGGGTGGTAACTGAAGACAACCAATTTTAACAGAAAAAATTAATGATGTCAATCATGGTATTTAGACTATAAATGTCAAAGTTGCAGCTAGTGGAGAAAAAAACACAAATCAGATTGTCAATTTATTAAAAAGTCTGAACATTTGGAAGACAGGTTTGAAAAGTGTATCTCTTTCTATACTGATAGTGTCTGTCTCTCAGACTCAAAAAGTCTGATTTCAGACAAAAGTCTGAAAATTTCATGCTTAACGAAACCCAAGGAATAAGGGAAGATAGCAAAATTGAACAGGGGGTAACTCAAGGTTTCCCTGGAGGTTTTACAGGATACCTCGGGATGCACCCCCCCCCCCCCATGGAAGTAAAAGACCTTGTCAATGCTTCCCCAGCAAATTGGTGGATTTTAGTAGATTTTGTAGGATTAAGGAAGGCAAGGGAATCAGGTTGAAGGACTGACCTGCAATGACAGACAGTGTAGCACTCGCTCTAGTGATTCCAAGGTAGTTGCCGGCCAGGCATGTGTACAGCCCCGAGTCCTTAAACGAGACGTTGTAGATCTTCAAGGTTTGTGTCTGGACCTTCAAGTTCTGTGACGTGTGCTGTAAATGCAAGGATTGGGAGGAGGAGAAAAGAGTTTTCAGAACTAGCTTACATGAAATACAATCTCGGCACTCAATTGTTCTTTTTCCTCTTGCCTGGAATGCTACTTCATTTGAAACTATAAAAATCAGATCACAGATTTTTTGTCTATCTGCTTGAGAACATTCTCAGCCCCCCCCCCCCCCATTTTTTTAACTTGTGCAAAATATTGTTTAACCTTTACAAAGTTAAAATAATAATTTTTTTAAAGGTTCTCCCCAGTTTCAATAATCTGGAGACAATTAATAAAGTTAGTTCCTTCCCACCAAAACTAACACTAACCATACCGTTGGATGCACCAGAAGTATAGCCTTCACAGGTTTATCAGAAATGAAATAATTAAGTGATACCAGAGTAAATAGTGAGAAAAAAGGAGGAATTTACACTGCAAAATAAAAGACGAGATAGCTCACTCATAGAGGCCCAGATGGTGGGGAAAATGTGAATGGAAAAAGAGGTGAAGGATGCAAGAAGAAAAGAAAAGATAGAGACTGGTTCAAAGATGTGGAAAATTGATATGGAAAGAAGGGAAACAACTTTGGAAGTTTATCACAAAGAAGATGATAGGATTTTCAAATTATGCTGACTGCAGAATACTGAATCATAGACCAAATATAAGACATGAAATGAAATAATTTGACTTTTGTTACTGTAATACTACTTCATATTCATTCTTTTCTGAAACCAAATTTTCTACATGCAAACAACTGTAGAGGACTGTCAGAGATGTCAACAAGACAGATTGAAAGGATTGCAAGAATTAGCAAGTCCTGAAAAAAATCTCAAACAGCGTAGAGGAGGTTCAACGTGATAACAAAAGCTATCTTGTTTTACATGCTTCAGAACTTTCTTCAAAGAAGTCAAAAAGGAAAAGCTGATGGAGTTTCTATACGTACTTTCTCGATCGTTACTATTGGATCTGAAACCTGAATATTGCTAGAGGATTGCTGCCAATCGAATGGTATGTGTAAAAGTAAAAGGAACGATGTTAGTCAGATAATGGGTTACGGGGATAGACAACGGGTTGTGGCTGTGTACACAAGAGCAGGAAAAGAAGTACATGTAGGGGGTTGATTTCAGGAACAATAGTAAACTGGTCAGTAAATCCCTCTGCAAGTAGCATTGTCATCAGTAATTAACAAAAACTGTATTAATGAATACCACTTTAACAAACACCCAAAGAATTGACCAATCCAGGCATGCTATCGCTACTATAATGGAGGCCCCCTTTAATGGAGAAAGCATTGTGTTAGCTATTGTCCAGGATAACCGTCATGCTGTGTAAAATAGCTAACGCAATGCTTTGGCCATTAACGAATGCCTTGTCAGTATACAGCGATCACATGCTCGGGTTCATCCATAAAATGATAGAGAAAAGGCAGACTAATTGCAGCTGAAAGTGAACAGGAAGAGGGGCAAATGCTGCAGTAACTGATTAAAAAGGACATGTGACATAGAACCTTTTCAATTGCATAAAATAAGAAATTGAGGAAAAGCTGATAAAGAACCGCAACCAGATCAATATACACAAGACATTTGAAAGTTGTACAAAAAGAAATGGCAAAAGTAAAACAAAAGCAAACAGGATAAATACGTAGAATGCTGGAGATGAAAAGCTGTGCTAAACAAGAGAGAAAAATGGATTCAAAATTGTGATGAAACCAGCTGAGTCGATCCTGACAAAGTGCCACTGCTTGAACAAAGCAACTGTAATTTAACATAAATGTACTTCAGCAAAAATTGACAGAACATACATTCATTCATTCATTCATTCGTGTCACAGCACTTGTAAGTTTGTGTTTGAAAAAAGCAAATTAAGAGTTCTTTTGTACAAGAAGAGGCACTTTGACAGTATTTCCTGCGAAGTGAAAGAATTCAAATGTAGCAAGACATGTGCTGCGTGTCGGGATTGAAACAATTTGCTTGATTGGAAAGAAGTTGAAATGCTGCTGCAATGAGTCCCATGTTGTGACCAAGACAAATGTTGCTGTGCTGCTGGGTAGAAAAAGGCTGCGAAATAAATACCGGTCCAGTGAAAGATGGGCTCCAATGACTCAAAATTCATTGTTAAATAATTTATTGTTAATAGTTGATTTAGTTGTGTGGATTAATATTGGAAAGGTTTTAATATCAATTAATTTCAAATGAATCATTCACTTAATCTTGTTAGTCCTGTTAGGCATTTCCTGATGATAAATGAAAAATATTTTGGAACATTTCAAAAACCTGCTTTCAGCGATTCTTTTATTTATTTATTATTTTTTTAGAATAAGTTTAATAATTCTTTAAAACAATTTCAAAATGTATTGTTAGATTCTTATTCAAAAATCACGAACTGAATCAGAAAGATGAAACAGTGATTTTGATATATTTATGGTTTATAGTGAGCTGAAATTTGAATGAGTAAATCCCAAAAAGCCCCTGAGCTTTAAAAAATTGATTGTTTTGGTGCGACAAAAACAAACATTAATTGAACTAAAAATGTGAAAACAAATTCCAATTCGGTTTTGATTTTTGTTAGGTTGAAAGGAAATGAATGTCATTAGAAGTTGTCCGCAAAAAAAATGCCTTATGTGTGAATGATAAAAGATGAAAAGATTAGTAGTGCAGCAGAAATTAGAGAAATAGCCCAAAAAAATTGAGCTGAATTTCTCGACCTCCTGAACTCTACAGACCTTACAGGCTGAGGCTGTAAAGATGTATTGCCATTAGCTGAACTAGGGTTGGCTAAATTCAGCACGGCAGCACCCAAATTAGCTATTTGCCGCACAGGTCTAGCCGAGCAAGAATGTATGCAAAAGATCAGTAGTGATTAAGAGTGAAATAAGCTTGCCAGTGTTGTAGTTCTCGGTACTACTCGTTTTGTTATCATACTTTTGAGACTGTACTCATCAACAGTCAATGATTAGAAAACCCAGATATGAGTTGTTATTTTTTTTTACTCAGACACAGACTTTTTTACACTACAAACCTGAAGTTGTGATGCTGAGATTTGCACACCCGTTTTTGTTTTACCAGTTCTATACTTGTGAGAAAATATTCGACCACAACTCCAGTGTCAAACACTTTTGGTATGTGTACTCACGAGAAAGTACACAACTACAACGCTGACGCTGAATGCGTAGAAACCATGCAGGGAAGGGACAAATGAAAAGCAAAGCATGCATTGGTGAAGGTCTCACTTTTGTGACATGAAAAACATGAACATTGTGTATGCAACAAGTTTCAACTTTTTGAATTGGGTTGCTGGAACCACTATGTACACCACAAGTACAGATCTCATACTCAGCACAATCCTTAAGTTACTCATCAGCACTTTTTTTTTTTAACTGAACATTTTACTCATCAATTTTTTTTTTTAAGTGAATATTTTTTTTCCGCAACATGTCTTGTCAGAGACGCAAATATTGTTCGTTTTGAAAACACTTTTTTTCCTTAAATTATAAGGGGCACCTGAACCATTCACCATTTTGAATGCAATATTTTTCTGCTTTTTTCATTTCCACTTTTTTTTAATAGATTTATTCTCACATTATCCCCTAGCTGTGATCGGATGATTTTTCTCTCTTTCAGAAGTTGCCTCCAAATTGGGCAAAAATAGCCATAACCACAACACATGAGGATTTTACAATCTCATTCCTGCTGCCCAATTGTTAAGAGAAACCATTGCATACACAATATTTGTAGAACCACACCCTCAAACCAAAACCCGCCCACCACCTGACCACGTGACCAGCCTCCATCCAATCAGAACCCAAGGTTTTGATTAGGGGAGGGGCCAATGTGGGATCCGTGTCTATACCTCATCGTTACTTATGCACTGCCAATGCTGGGTGAAATTTGACAGATATTCCATCATGACTTCAGAACAACTCTTAGACAATTCCTGCGTCCATTTCTCCTATAATGACAAGGAACATGCAATGGAAATAAACATCACGGTTAGTATTTAACATGCAAATTCATTCAAATGGATGGATTATAAATAGTTGAGAAGTGGAAGCAGATATGCAATATTGGTAAATCATGCCCCTCCTGTTCCAGCTGAAAGCCTTTCAAGCAAAAAGACAGCATGAATCTCAACAATTCTTGTCACCAGTCCTAAATCTTCACAACTTTCTTTGGGTAACCACAGAACATTCTGCTTCAAATTCTCAACATGTTTTATTATACTTACAGCTTGTTTTCCTAGTTGTATTTGAAACTTTGGGAACCAAAACCATGTACTTGCAATTAACACACACTCATGCAGGTGAAGCAGATGCACTCGTCCACCTGTCAAAATGGGGTTAGCTTTCAAACAGCATTAATAATATCACAATATTCTTTGTAAGCACTCCGAGATCAGTCAAATATTTTTGCTGCTCTGTTCAAGGTATCCTCTTGTTTCATTTTGTGGTTTATTCTCAAAAAATATATCCAAAATTGGAGTACCTAGGGGTTATAAGGTCCTAACATATTTTAAAAGAATTGTAAATGCTGAGATAATATGAAACCATCTTGTATCAACAGCTGAAATTGCTGGCACCTCAACTGTTCACAATTTTCACGCTGCCAAGACATCCACCAAAAATCCCTATTAACCAAAAATGACACCCTGAATTTGTTTTTAAAACATTGCGATGTAAACTGCTAACACCAAAAGCATCTGCAGATCCTGCGTTATATTAACACCAATAAAGTTTGAAAACATCATTTTACATTGCCTCACCATTGCAACACATTGACAACTCATATAATTTCAAGGTTGAAATTAAAAAAAAAATTGAAGTGCAATAGCTAATACACAAAGAATTTGAAGAAAAAAAGAAAAAAACACTGAACCACGTACTGTACATGTACATGTCATCACCACAATAGTGAAAAGATTTTCCATAAAATACAATTTACTGATAAAAAAAAGAAGTGAACGATTCGTGCAAACTTTAAGCCTGGCAAGTGAAGTACAAAAAGGGCAAGTTGAAAAAAATGATATTAAGGAAAATTCATAAAATAAATCACTTTTAAAGATTAAATTTTGAAGTTGAACAAAGAAATTGACTAACATGGGGTTTGAACCTGCGACCTCCTGATTGCTGTTCCTGTGCTCTACCAACTGAGCTATCAAGCCCTACATGTATGTTGGCGGTTCCCCACTTTGTCAATGTCTTTGTTCAAGGGGCGCTGGTCAGAGGCCACTTTAATTAAAGATGACAGAAATTAATGAAATATCCCTCAAACACCTGAACAGATATAAAAGGATCGAATATGGCATAGCCACTGACGTCAAGATAGTGCTTTACAGAAACATGCTGGCCACAGTTTTAGATGTACACGTATAACGGATAGAACTTACTTCAAAAACGTCTATAATTTCATTGATAATCTCCTCGGGGGATGGCTATTGAAGCAATCGTTTAAAACACATATGAGTCAAATCATTTTGGAAAGAAATTTGACTAGAAGGTTTGAATTAAAGAAACTGTCCGTCATGCTTTTTGTTCATTTTATTTACATGTCAGTGCATGTGTGCATGCAAACATGCAGGGGTAACAAACGAGTCTCTTTGAAATGTGTGATGTGGCACTGATTTAAAAAAAAATATTTGAAAAAAACGTTTAATTCCTACTTATAAACTCGAACATAATTCAATTTGAGGGCAAGTGCTCAGTGATGGCACTGTGTATAAGGGGAAATGTGCTTATCTTGATAAATAAATGCCTGAATTAATAAATTGATCAAATCAAAATATTTGATCAGTAAAAAAAATGTTTGAGAAGTTGGGCTGAGGTTTAAACAAGTCATTTTTTTTTACAGCAAGAGAGCTAGGCTGAGTCACAAGTGTTGAACGATGTAAACATGTAAAAGGTGTCGAACGATGTAACAAAATAAACAGTTTTGGATGATGTAAACGGTTGCATGCAGTGCTGCAATAAGTGACTGTTATATAAAAACAGACTGCTTCGGAAGGTGAGGTAAAACGAGCCTCCTTGAGTCTCTCGAGGTGATCCATGAAGCACTCTATTTTTTCCGAGTCGAATGCTCCGTGGATCACCGAGGGAGGCTAGTTTTACTACACCACAAATGCAGCAGTCAATATTTGTTCTATAACACCTCTCCCACAGATTCTGCTTGATTGTAAGCGATAACTGATTAATTTAATCTAAATAAATTAAAATGTGATTCTGTTTGAATACGAAATTAGTTGAAAATTGAATTGCACTGTCCTAAAAAAAAACCTTCACGGAAAGGTTTGAACCCAGCTCTGTAGCGGGAACAGTACGCACAACGTGCACACTGTATGCATTTGCACCATAACAAAAAAAAACGGTTGTTATGCTTCTAGTACTTTGGTTACTCCGGGAATAGTACTTTGGTTGCTACGGGCATAGTACTTTGGTTACTCCGGGAATAGTTCTTTGGTTACTCCGGGAATAGTACTTTGGTTACTCTGGAAATAGTACTTTGGTTGCTACGGGCAAAGTACTTTGGTTACTCCGGGAATAGTACTTTGGTTGCTACGGGCATAGTACTTTGGTTGCTACGGGCATAGTACTTTGGTTACTCCGGGAATAGTACATTGGTTGCTACGGGCATAGTACTTTGGTTACTCCGGGAATAGTACTTTGGTTGCTTCGGGCATAGTACTTTTGGCCATGCACGGAAAGATAACAAAAATAGCAGTGCCATGTGACTCGCTCTCGGCCAATCAAGATACAGAATGTGTGGCTAAGCTGTTATAAACTATCCTATACCACAATCTTTAAAATAATGTAAACTGCCATGCACCCTTTGTGACAAATGGTAAATTCTTGTCGGCTTTAGACTAAAATTCTAATGTGCTACCTGTATGCCAACTGTTCTCTGTAACACTGGTTCAGAATCACTGAAATTCATTGATGAAGATTGAACTGACACAGAGTTGACTAAGGCAACAAAAATCAAAGACAGACCTAGAAATAAAATATTTAAGAAAAACAAAGTGAAGAATATCTGTTCTTCTGTTATGTTATGTTTTCAAGAACTGACCTATCTGAGTTGAACTTATCAACAGTTAAAATTTTAAACTGATAACATGCCAAACATGCAAATTAAACTCATGCAAGTTAGTCGTGCTTTTACATTTGACTGCAATTTTTTTTAAACCTATGAATAATTATGCACCAAAATTGTCTTAAACGTTCACCTGTCGGAAAAAAAAGTGAAAAGTGAAAGATTACTTAAAAATAAGAATGTCAGGTCTCTTTTTCTTGGGTCTGCAAATGAAGACACCTTGTGTTCAGAGTTGTATGCATCACAAGTCATCACAAGTCATCATTAGTCATCCAGTCTCAAGTCACAAGCTATTCAAATCAACTGGCACAAAGGCATTTGGTTGTCCTCCGCTTTAGGCAATTTAGGGCATTACTAATACTCAGTGGCTGTCAGTAAGAGGACAAAGTCAGGTCCTCTGGGCCCAGCAAAAACTCCAGTGCCATTCTACAGCAGATGAGTTTTTCTGCTATACAAAACAATTCTACTGTGTTCCATGTCATTCAAATAAAGGAACAGTAGCAGATGATCAAAACATTAAAACTGATTCTTATTTTCAATGATGAGGATAGCTAAAGACAAGTTAAACACAAGTACTTACAACAATCAAGTCTAGCCTGTCTGTCATGGTTTGCAGTTGGGAAACGTTGCCCGGCTTCTCCATTTTCAACCACACAATATGCGGGGTTGCGTCGCTGACGATTTTGCACTCAAAGGAAACGTTGCTCCCAACAACCACCTCCTGGTCGTCAATTTGGGATATGATTGGACGAGTGGCTATCCTCTCTGCAAAACAGAAAACTCAAACTCATGAGTAACAAGTAGGGAATCTAAATCTAAACGAAGACATTTTGAGTTCAGGCTTTGGTCATTAGATTGCTTAAAAGTGCCCAGCCTATTTATTGTAATTCCGTTAACAAATCATGGAGTACAGTGAAATTGCGATAAGTCAAACTTGGATAACTCAAAACTCGGTTCATCTTGAGGCCAGAATAGCTTCATCAGAAAACCCTGAACATGCTGCGATGGGTCACGCAATCGCTACACTAGACTAGACATCAACAAACGACATGAACTAACGATTTGCTACACGAAGTTGAGTTTTTTATATGTATCCATGGAGCAGACACTTTAAGGTAAGAAAAATATAAAATCTGAGCAAAATGATGATTTGTGATGGAAAAAATACATCATTAAAATCAATAAAAATAAGGAAAGTGCGCCAGATAACATGTCCATTTCATAGCCAGGCATAGGAATTACGGTGAAAGCCATGCGTGTACATGCAGACGTACGTGGTCATAGAAAAATTGGGAACTTTGCTTAACTCAAACTTCGGATAACTCAAATTTTGTATCTATTCCCTTGAGGTTTGACTTATCCAGATTTGACTGTATGTTCATTGCACTAACGCAGACAGATCCCAATGACAATCCTTTATCTCTGCTTATCATATGACATTATGGAACGTTGCGCACGAATAACACTACTCAGTTTTACGAAGCTTTGTCACTTGTTTGCGACATCTTCAAGTGACAATAGAGTACATTCTTACCTGTGATATCAATAATGGTTGTGTGTTCAATAGAACCAAGCTCATTGGTGACGATACACGTATACTTGGCTTGGTCAACGGATGGCATGAGTCTCTCAATGATCAGTTTGAAATCGTTAATTGTCACCTGCACAAAACAAAATCAAGAGTTGATCATCATTACTTAAGGCTGGGTAATACTGTATGGGATGGCAAAGCGAATTCGATATCACAAAACATTCCAAGCAAAATTTGCTGGAGTTCAAATTTAGCATATTCACAGAGCAAATACACGCTGCACATGACGTCACAAACTGTCACTTTTACATCAAGTTTGAGCAAGGCAAGATGAACTTTTCAAGCACTTCACAAAACCCCAACATTGGAATGGATAGCTCAGTCGGTAGAACACCTGTACGGCAATCTGTAGGTCATAGGTTCCAAACAGTTTCAGTCAAATTCTTTGTTCAATTTTATAACTGCAGATTCACAGATTGACTACACTGTATGAGGCAGAGAGATGCGAATGATCTAAGAACTAACCCTATCTCTGAAATTACTCTGCTGCTCCCAATTCAGTTTGTCATTCTTGGTCCAGACCACCGTTGGTCGTGGATTGGCTCTGTAAGGGCACTTCAATGTGAGCCTCTCGCCGGCCACCTTCAGCATGTTGTCATGAAACCTGTACTTGTCCTTGTTGAACTCGGGCGCCATGGGCTCCAGATCTGAAACCGTTGATTCAATCGCGCCGTAGGAAGATTCGGAATTGGATGAAAAATAGACCTCTGTGGTTTGTGGAGAAAAAACAAGAGAAATGACATAAAAAAAAGACTTGATATACTTGTAGATTGACCATTATTGATGTCTGACAAGATGACAAAATAACTTTACCTTATCTCAAAACAACTTTGATTTTTGGACATTCTCTATTTCTCAGTACATCAAATCTGCCAAGATCCCACACCTTCTTTTGCTGTATTTCGATGGATTACTGAAGTCTGCGGATCTCAACCACCATCATTTGACAATTCAGATTTATGTCTTGATCTCGATTTTGTTACACCACAAAAATAAATAAATAAATGGGCCAATGCAAAACTGAATTTTGGCAAATTCAAGACATACAAGAAGGCTCTAAGAAAAGCTGTCTTCTTCACCAACCATTGGCATTTATGTAACCAAATCTATCCTTACAATAAGACTTTCTCATAACTCACCGGAATCGTCCGGGTCGACCTCCAATGTGAAATTGACCCTGAGTTCTCCGTAATCATTGGTTACATAGCAGCTGTAGACACCGCTGTCTTCTACCACGACGTCGTTGATGGTCATAGTGGCCCGTTTGACCTCTCTGTCGTCCCCCGTCTCAAGACGGACGTTACCTCTCCACCAGGTAATGTTAGGTTTAGGGTAAGCGTCAACAGAGCACCGAAACTTGGCATTTTCTGTTTCCACTTTCTTCAGTTCTGTGATCATACGGCCATCCTTATTGATTGTTGGTGGCCCTGAGAAGTACAAAAAAAAAAGAGAGAGCCCTAACTCAGCTGAATCCAACAAGATCCAATTTTGGTCTGAGAAGTGAAAACAAAGATACTTCAGTGAAGGATTCTTCATAAATATCGCATCAACCCCGCCCCAAAAACTAATGCCCTGATTTGCTTTGACACCTTGGGACAAAAAAAACAAAATGACAAACATGTACTACAGTGGGCTGATATAATCAGTGGGCACTTGACCGTGAAGCAGGTGCTTGACCACGAAGCAGGCGACGCCTCCCCGCGTAGCAGGCAAGACTTCATTTTTCATATTCTTTCCAAGTCCACTTCAAACCAAACATCTTAATTCTTGACTGTGTGTATCTCAATTATCCAGCTTGGTTTCCTGAATAGTTTTGACATACAACAAAGTCAAGTCCCCTGGTGCCAGTTGTCACCTCTGTAATCCAGGTAACAGCCCATGAGGGAGTTGAGAGACCAGACTTACGTAGGGTGTCTGGTCAATCACTTGTTGTTGGGGAGACAGATTAAGAAACAGAGCGTGAAACAGGTGCAGTGCTATCCAGTGGGGTCATGGTAGAGATGAGTGTTGTAACACCTGGGCTTAAGTTAGGTGAGGAGTACGGAGGGTTGGATGGGGGAAAGGGTGCTGACTGTGGGTATGGGGAGGGGGCTTGCTGATGGGTGTGAACGGGTGTGCAGTCCGGGGACAGGTGTAACGGGTGTGTGTATGCATGGGGAGGTTTGGTGATGGTGTGGGTAGTGTGCAAGGGGGGGGGGGAGTAATGGGTGGGCTGTTACCACGTTATGGAGGAGTTGTGTGTTGTTAGGCAAATAAGGACCGAGTTATGGGGACTTTCTGCTGTCCCCACAGCGTCTTCGGTCCCCATGGTACATTGGACAACTCATGTGTAGTCCCCACAACTACGGACAAGAATGTGTGAATGTGTGTAAGTCGGGGTAGGGGGAGGGGGGGGGGGGGGTTGGTGGGGTTGTAATGGATGATTGGATAAGCATGTGGAGGGGGACTTGGAAATGGGTGTGGATGGGTGTGCACTATTTGTGTGTTCATGATACAGTATGGAAGGGGACTGGGCAGTAGGTTGATGTGGGTATGGGGGGAAGTTCTGCAAATTTGCGGTTATGCTTGATGAGGGGGAAATTGTGATTGACAATGTATGGGGGTCTTTAATAATAGAAGGAACATCAAAAAACACCACAACTCGAAAAATACATGTACTAACTTGGCGAGATTCCAGATCCTGTGACTTCGTTTGTGACGAGTTCAGGACTCCCACTGATACTGACAGAAAACGTGTAGTTGACGCGGATTTGTAGATCACCCACATCACACGACGTGGAGTTTGACACGTTTTTGGTCCGAACCTGTGACTGATCTGGATTAGGCAAAAGCAGGAAAAAATGTAAGAGCAAAGCCACAGTGGGTCTCCCCTTTTTCTGTGGGTCTCCCCCTTTGTCTGTGGGTCTCCACCTTTGTCTGTGGGTCTCCACCTTTTTCTGCTCATTTTGAGAAACACAATTTGTGTAGACCTTCATCTTCTATGCTTTTCTATTTGCTCAGATCACAACATAAACAAACATGTACCTTTAGTGAAAAATTCAACAATATAACTGAACAAAATAATAAAATATCATGCTGAGATAAACTTTTCCACATAAATATATTGACACAAAAGGAGTCTGCAACACTATTGTATCCCGCCAAATTGTAACAAACACAGTCTGTTCTCACCTTGCCCCCTCCAGTAGTTAACATCATAGTTGTACACCCCTCCATTGAGTGGAGCGTCCCATTTCAGGGTCACTGTTGTTAACTTGGTTGGGGTCAGTCTGAGGTTTCGTGGGCTGCTTCTAGATGGGACTATATCTGTGGCAGGAACCAGTCAAAGAGGGGAAAAATTGGACACAGTTGTTAAGTTGTCAGTATTATTTCAACATGTGTGCATCTCCACAGATGTTCAAAGTGAAGTGCCTGTCATGTTACCCGGTCCGGTCTCATACTGATAGGGTTATAATGAACGGTCCTAATGATGTCCAGTAAAGCCGTACTACATGTACAACATCAATCCTTTACTCTAAATCAATGACAATTCCTTCCAGATGTACATGTACACAGACATAATTAAAACACGCGGCACACTTTTGGTAATACAGACACACTAATAGTTAACAGTAGCCTTAACTCTATTTCAAATTTGTGGGACATTACATGTTTTAATAGGCATACTAAAATAAGTTTCTGATATAATCTAAGAATTTTTAACACACTACATGTATTACAATGTAGATGAAATGCTGCAAACATGTTAAAGATTCATCTATTGTAAATGTAACGATGCATAAAAACTATACATGGTGAATGAATTTGCACACAAACATACAAAGGCAGAATGCATGAATGTGGCCAAGCCCACATAAAAATATTGTTTTCAAAACAGGTGATGTTGCCTATGTTGTCTAAACTGCAGCCCCATTTTGACTACACGTTGCACTTTTTGGATAAGTAGGCTTAAGGCCATTTCTGTTTTCAACCTGCAAAACACTATTGATGCTTAACAATTTTCTTTCTCTCTAATCAACACCCCGGACCTCCACACAGGACCTCATACATCAACGGATAAAAGACACTGTCAGCTGAATCGGCAACGATATTACAATTTTCGATTCAGCACAATGACGATTCAACTCCAGTGATAACAAAAACCTTTGTGAGTTGTGAAAAGCACAATGCCCCTCACACCTTGTGTTCAAATCACCTCACTTTGGTACACCATGGGAACAACTTGTATCATCCAAACAAATACGACTCAAATTTCTATAGGATTTCACATTTGGCAAAAACCCAAAACCCAGACAATCAGACTCTGACAGTATCTTGCATTTGTAGCGAATAATTCAAAGCTCTCTTTTCCTCATATTGTCCGCACAAAAACACCCTAACCTCGAATGCGGCCAAGTAATATCATATTCCATCATGCCAATTTAACTATTCAATAAGTCTGCTGCTAAATATGGCCCTGGGTGACTAGGAAACAATAGACAATTGATGGCAGTCCCCTAGTCGGCAGCTTATGCCCAGCTCCGAGGCTCGGTGTGTTTTCCAATTAACCAATGAGAAGCCTTGACCTCGGTACAGGACCACTAAACTCACCCGCTCCCTTCTCACGCATCCCTTTTCTCTTTTCTCTAGTCCCCTTTATCGTGCCTCCTTTTTGCTCTCAACCACTCAACCATTAAAAAAATTGTTTACTGACGGCCAAGTCTATCAAAAGCCGTCAATCATTTCCCAATGTTTCATTTTATTTGCAGGGTTGGATAGATGCGAGGTTGGACTGTAAAGTTTGGTCACGTAGTGCAAAAAAATGGAAATGAATAATTTTTTTAATGAGGGTATTCCAATTCATTGTATTAAACAACTCGTTTTCAAGATTCAAAGGACATTATGAATTAAAATGAGCAGTTTCTTACTGAATACTTTATAAACATACAAAATACTGGTACACATTGATTACACAAGAGGGTATCGCAGCCCTGTCTCACATGTACTCCAATATGGGATTCACAAAGAGCAAGCAAAAAAACAACCAGACTTGTTCCATCATTAGCATTGGACGAATTTAGAAAAACTTGATATGACTCGACAAAAACTTTCAACTATTGTATTTCTATGTTTCTTTGTATCAGCATTGATCTCCTTAAAACCATTTCAAAGGAGTATAAATTTTGAAGTCAGTTGGCCCACATAACATAATTTTATTTTGTATAGCCTGGGGGTGTCCTGCATGAGAAGCCATAGAGTACAAAACCTCTTACCAACCATACCGGTACCCCTCCACTACCATTCAGCCGCCTTTCATTGTCCACCATAGTGCACACGCACCTTGCAGTGACTCACCAATTTTCATTTTTTAAACCGTTGCTCTAAAGTTTGACGTGAAATATGGCCTAAAATTTCTGGGAAAGTGCAACTCCATTAAAATTTGTATGAGTTATACACAAAAAAAACGGCACAAAAAGACACTGAATGCCGTTTCAAAGGTTGAACAAATATCCATAGGAACTCGTAAGCTAATAGAGGAGACTGTAGCGTGGGAACGATTGAAAGTTGAAGTGACAATCTTTTGGAATAAAACAGAGTAATCCACGGATAGCTTTTATGTTAACGTGTAACCTCTCTTCAAAAAGTCACAATTTATTCCAGATATCACTGGAATCAACTGAAATGTTGCTCAATCAAATCAAACCCTCATAGTTCAACTCCTAAGGGAATGAGAAGGACTCTCCCAGTAGACCACTCAATCTGTCTAGTGGAGGCATGCAATTATACAATAGACATTCAGCCTTGTGCAAATGAAAACTGCACTGGGCAATCTTTCTATCATCTTGAGACGTGCTATCCTCTCATCGTGAAGAGTGACAACCAGATGATGATGATGATGAGAACAGTGCCAGGAGAAAAATTGAGAAGGTGAAGGTTATCTTAGCTCCTTCAAGATGCTAACCAATCACTCCACAACCTCCTGACTTCATCACTGCTCTCTGTATCAACAGCTGCTTGCTCTTAAGCAGAGATGCCTGGTCTTGTCATTCTTAGCTTTTTAGCCTTGGACTCTTACGAGGAAAGGGAATGTCTAAATAATCAAAGCCTGATACCATGACAGAAAATCAGGCTAGGATGAAAAAATAAAATACAAAATTTAAAAAAAACTCCTCCTACCTCACCACAACAATCTTTTAACAGAGTCAATGACATGTCACGTGACATGTCACATGAGTCTGCTAACTTGATAACAGGCAACTTGAGTACCAGTATGAATACCACAGCTAGTGTTGGAGTCACGTTCTCAAATCTTGACTTCTACCTAGCCAGGGGATGAATACTTCAACTCTGGACACTCGGACTGCCAACAGATGCTCCAATCGTTCTTCTAACACTTTCAACAGACTCATACCTCTCTAATCTTTAGAAAGCCTCAAATTGAAGCCGAGCAATGACGCAAAACACATCCCCTTCCTATCTTCAAGGACATTGGTTTCTCAGAAATGGAAGATAATCTCAAGTTTGAAAGATTAAAACGGATGACTGATGAACTTGCTTATTTTAAACGAAGTGCAAGGAGTATCATCTTACACCAGCTCTGTCATGGTTAAATATTTGTCACACAGGGAAAAGAGGTTAACTTTATTCAGTCAAGCATCTGAGCTTCTTTAATTGGTTTTTTTTTTATAAAGCTCCAGATGTCAAACGATAATGTTTTATTCAGATTTAATTCTGAGAACTTTAATTAACCTTAACATCTCCAAATCTCCCAACATTCCACACCTGGTTTTAAAGTGCATGTATGTATTTGACAGCCCGTTGCTCAAAAGCCAAATCCGAATCTCATGTATAGAGCTACTGGCTAGGTCTTTGCCCATTACAACTACATGTACATGGGCACATGCTAACAACAGACGTAGCCATAGCTCTGGAAGCCCATTTCGAAATGGCCTCAAACTTCACATGAAGGTTCATGTAAAATTTTGTTCAGTGAAAATAAATGCTACATTGTCAGATTTTGGAAGATTCAGGCAGCTCACCAGCAAAAGACCAATCAATTAAGGCCCACCCATGATATTTCGACCAATCACAGCCATAATTGTGCGACCATGTTTGACCAAACTCCAACATGTATTGACTTGTGTAATATGCCCAATGATGGAAAATGCAGTGATGTATTGGAAAGGCGCACATGTACCGTATATATGCACATGTGGGCAGTGGGAGGGGCTACATGGATCAGTTTAATTAAAGGAGGTAGGCTTAAAGATGCATTCTCCGAGCTATTCTCGAGTTTAACCCCAAAATAGATTTCTTTTTTTCAATTGCTATTTTCCAAGAAATATAACAGTTATTGGCTGCCAGACAATAATTCGGCTCTCGCAGTCTGGGTTTATTTGTGCGCAAAATTATTTAAAATTTTATTAAATAAAAAAAAATCAGAGGTTGCAGATGCCCAAAATTGGAATCTAAAGATTTTTTTACTTAAAAAAAATCATACAAATTTAAAATCTGTTAGGTGAAGGAAAAAAAAAATCAATTTTTTGAGAAGCACAGGGTATGCATCTTTAATCTAAACTTCAACTTCAAAGTCTTTGAGGCTGGAAATCTTGTTTTGATACAAATGTTAACCAACCTTGTGCGGAGGTAACGGCCGCTTCTGCTAACGTCAATCTCAAGCTGAACAGGCACAATATAAGAAGACTGTGGATTGATCTCCGCAGACTATACCGCCCTCTAGAATCCATCTTGGCCAATCACCGCATTGAGAATACAGGAAGATTATGAAGAACTGCAGGTAGACTTGATGGCTTTACGACTGCCTAGATTGTCCTGTAGAATAAAAAATACACCAAAAACACATAAAAGGTTACAAAAATATGCACAATATGAGTTTGCAGCAACTTGTTTCTCTTTGATAAATTTATTTCACAAGTTATTTGCGCAGAAATTCCATAGCAGAAAGACCTTGAAATGTTGTGATCTCACAGTTTTGTGTGTCGGTGTGTTTTCGGTGTCTAATGTGTTTTGTGTGTCTGTGTGTTTTGTGTGTTTGTGCATTTTATTTGAACTTTTATTGGGTTTTTTTAAGTTACATGATTCTCCTTCGCTCAACCTTCTCAATGTGGATGGTGTAGATCTCAGGTTAGTCACAAACAACCTTTTTGTAGGAATTCTACTCACTCAGCTGTGACACTTTCATAAATGGCACTTCACAAAAAAACAAAAAAAATAATATACAGAAATAGTGACCAAGATAGTGGGGGACTTCCTAGAAAAATGCAGCATGAGCATGATAACACTTAGGTATTAATAAACAAAACCCAGCACAACAGAACGAACGATGCCTGTCAAACTGTCAAACAATCTTTTGCTCACACTCCATAGCTAACATCTTGTACGACATCTCTGGGCATCATCTCTGCCACGTCTTATCTTAACGAGCTCTCACTCCAGGATGCTATTAAAAAGTTGAGACAGGAGGTGACAGAGATGATGATAATCTCCTTCATGGGTTGGTTATCAGTACAGGAATAGAAAGGCTCAAGTGCAGACCATCTAGGAACCATTAAAATAATGCCATATATGGCTATGTACTTGTACCACAAAACAGCTGAATTAGTGACCACAGACCAATTATCACAGCTAGGCACTGAAGAGGTATGCTCAGCCGCAATGTAACATACCAAAACATCATGTAGTACATACTGAACATGACTGGTTCTTCAAAGTTCAATTTCAAATAAAATGAACCATTACCACAAAACGTTGCTAAACAATCAGTAAACAAAGAGCATTTTGTTTAGAACAAACAAACTGCACTGCAGTCGTCAAAATGCCTTGCATGTGACTGAAACAAAGCTACAAAGTTGAAATGTACTTTGATAAAAACTCCCAAAATCTTTAACAGTTTCTCGTCAACTTGAAATATTTGAAGATCAATTCAAATGAAACGGTTCAAACATGTCTTACTAACCTGCCAGCCAAGTGACGCACTGAACATGTACCTCGCAGCCTGAGAGCTTTGAATGTAAGAGTACCCCAGCAAGTCCTTGCGCCAAAGCGCTGATAGAATTTGCGTATTACGATTTGAACAGTCAGGCACAAACTGATGAGAAATGGTATCAAATATGTATAAGCCTGCCCAACTACATCGTCAATTACACTGGCGCCTTATTACCAATCAATTACCATAGTGGGTGTGTCCACCAGCACAAACAATTCTCCAAGAAATCAAAAATTAAAAAATCTCATTTGGGAATGCTCCTTGTGGATATATCCGCAGGGATTTCGGAGAAAGCTAATCGAAACACGGAATTGGTTTGTGCTAAGTTCAACTTGTCGCTGAATAATCATTTTGTCGTACTCAGTTCGACGCCACAAACATTACTAAATTAGAAGACAGATGTTCAATGGCGTGGCAGTCTACATCATTAAACATGCCAATTAGAAACGGTCTTGATTTTCAACAAAAGGTGACATTTCCGCGGTCTGACTCCAACATCTGAATTCAAAGAATGGATTACCAGGATCTGCACTGCAACTTGATACTGGACTATTGAACAAAGCAAGGGGAGTGGGAATAAATGGCAAATTATATTTCAAAAACAATATTGATAAATCAATTTAATTTCACACACAATTTAAGAATGCTTCCATTCTCAATGGCAGTTTCAAAAAGCTGACACAGACATGATTCACCTAAATCCTCCAACTTTGACAAGATTTGATTGGTGAGGATCTCCATGCTGATTCCTTACTAACTCACACAGTCCAACTAAACCCTATAACTTTCCCCAAACCAACTGACCACACAAAGCTTCAGCACAAGTTGCCATGTACAATGCAAAAGTGCAAACGGTATTTTTCTCTTTCAAATACACTGGGGATAGATTTGTGTAAAGCAGGAAGCCATCCATCAGATTACTTAAAACGAAGAAAGTTGATGTTTTATTCAATAGGAAGGGTTTAGAATTCTGTGGTTTCATTTGGTCCTTTTTTTCAATGTGCCCACCGTTGCTTGACTTGTACAACCATTAAAGGCTCCATTGAATGCTAGACTCTTAGTGGTCACGTTTGCGTCCGCAGTGTTGCATGAAGCAGTATGATTATCTAGCAACACACCCGGAGTAAAAAAGGGATGAAAAGGGTAAAAATAGGCAAGGTCGGCAGTCAGAGCTGTTCATATCCAGTTGCTTTGTTAAGTCTGAATTCAAAATCTTTCGAGTTTTTCTGACTTTTAACTGGCCTTGTTTGTGTGGGATACATGCGAACATTTCACTGAAATTTTTTCACAACAGGTGTACCACCAAAATCAAGACAGAAGCTTGGATTTTACAGAAGCATTATTTGTACATTCATGTATTGTCTTGACATGCAAAATCATACAAAGTTTAACACAAAATGATTCAATGTTCTCGAAATGTTATATTACTTCTACCCAAAAATGTCTCAGATTTTTTAATGTTTGTAAAAAGCCTGACAGCAATGAGATTGTATTAACCAGCAAAACCAACAATACTGTGAAGTTAATACTCAATTTCATATCCGGAATATTTCAAAGAAAAATCCTCACAATGGAATTAAGAGGTGACGTATAGTTCAACTGTTCAGTCTGAAAAACGTGCGTGTTATCGTTCCAAATCATCAAATTAAGTACAGCCCAGTGAACTGCTGATTTTAGTGAGCTGTGTTCAGACACTTCCATTTACAGCCATGCCAACTCTGAAGTTCATGACAATGTCTGAGATGTTTTCTCTCAAGTCACACAAGACAGTTGTGAAACAAAAGAAGCCCTCCAATCAAACCCAAATTGGTTTCAATTCCATGTCGCAATCTGTTTATAAGTATCATTTATCAATCGACCTTCCCTTTTTTTTCTCGTTTTTCTTTTTTACTTCGGCCAGCTACAAAGACAACGAAACTGGTACAGCAAATAATCCCTTCCTGACCCCTGACCCTCATCAATCACAGCGTCTGAAGACAGCATTAATATTGGTGTGATCTCAAGTTCAAGACATTCTAGAATTACAAAGACAAAAGCCTAGGATGCCTAGACGTGCATGTTTCAGACAGATTACTTTGACATGACAGCCAGGTGCAAATATAAAAGGGGAAAAAGGTGCCCAGAAAATAAAATACTAAGACAATTAGAATGAATTAAGACAAAAATAGAATGTATTCTGCCACTTCCATGTACTATGCCAATCAGATCAATGCTTTAAACTGAATCGTAGGCACCAACATTAATAATTTCAAAACTTTTAACAGATCTTTTCAAAAAATATTTTCAAAGGGGTTTGTTGTTCTCAAGCCCCACTATTTTAGTTGGAAACTTTTTGCTATGCAGTCATGTTTATTTGTACACGGTATTTTTACAAATGTCCCCAGAGTAACTTGAGAAAGGGTAAACAAAAAAGCTCTTTCTCAAAAACCTTTAGAGCAATGTCAACCAACCCTTGGGTGAAGGGACCATAAAGTGGGTTCCAACTTCTTACACTGTCACCTCTGACCTGGGAGAATGTACTCACTTGTCCAGTAATGGAAGAGGTCATTTAAAGCAGTTTACTCTACCATCTCTGCGGGCAGTTTTGACAATCTCCATACACACGACCTCAATGTTGGTATGCCACTCCTGCTCCGGGAAGTGAATGTCTTGCCGAGTTTGTGCATCCTTCAGACATAATGGGCATGAATCAACAGTAAGAAAACAGCCTTGGTTGATAGTCAGACACTGGGAGAAAGAACAGCAAGAATCTTGGTTGATTGAGGACACCCGGGATTTGTCCACGCCCCATCTGGTACACAGTTCTTAAGCCATCCTGTCTTAATGCCCAAATAAATGGGATGCTATATTCTCGGACTCCCCCTCCAAGGAGAGCTTAGGCATCTTAGAATCACAGCTCATGAAATAATCCCGGAGATTTTAAGACAGGAGAGAAAGAAAGAAAAGAATAAGATTCTGTCTTTATCCTTCACATAGCAGTCTAATCCCTGGATGTAACATGTAATTCCAGCACTTTGCTGGCTTGCTATTCTACATTATGAATAGAATTCTTCTGTTACATCCAAGGACTACATTCAATCTTAATCACACCCCAAGAAAAAGAAGGGGAAAAGCCTCCTCGCAATTTCAAATCGTTGAATAAATTGAAATATCAGCAATCTGCATGCCACATATTACATTTCATTCAACCAATTACACAGAGATTTACAGGATAGATTTACAGAAGATTTTCAATTGAAAAGGGGATAAATCCAAGTTACAGTTTGCGAGATGTACCTGTGGGTTTTGCAGTCCAGAGGGATTGTTTTATCGATGCCTAACTCACACACTGTATTTCAACACCAGAGAAGTATAAACTACATCTTTACACGTGTACATTGTACATACTCCGTAACTCACATTTATGTCAGTCAACGCACACATGTCCTTTAGCGATGGCTGAAATATTGCAGGCTAATTGGTCCGCATGGGTCATCTTCATCATATTTCTTTCAAGCTCTTGGGGTTTTTACTGGCATTACTCATACTGCATTATGTTCCTCGGATTTCTAAACTCATTCAATGTTGTAAATCTTCAAAATTTGGGAGTAAAATATAAACAGGAGAACATGTAGCTTGGTGTTTGATTTGAATCTCTCCTAACTTTGAGCATTTATCAGAAAGGAAACTTTAGGTAAAACAAAAAGAAAAAATGAGGAGTATTCCATTCAATTTATATCACAACAGTAATCATGACAAATGCACATTAATTATCTGCATACCGCAAGAGTCAAATAAATAATTTCATTCAGAAATGAGCTGTGTTTCAAATGTTTTGTGCAACAAC